AAGAATAAGACAGCAATAAACTCTGTGCTACCCATACTCAACTGTAAGCCTACTTTTGCCCCACCCTGTGTTTTTGCATAATGTAGTTCATACATGTGTTACATCTAGAACAACTTAGAGAGTCCTAAAAAATACAAAAATTATTATACTTATTTTATACTTATTTTACAGATGCACACACTGAGGTCCAGAAAGGGCAAGTGCCTGAGAGTTATGATCTAAATTTAGATCTCTCTGACCCCACAGCCCTAGAGCTGTCTCTTTTCTAACTATAATTTCTTTCAAATCCCTAAGTTTGAACCAGAAAGGCCTGGGTTCCCCTTGGCCTTAACGATAACAGCCTTCCTCTCCTTCCTCTCTTTTCTGGGGTCCTGAGGAGGAGAAGCAGCTGGTGAAGTTGGGATCCTGGAGTTCCCCACTTGGAAAGCTAAAGGTCAAACAACCCACTCTCAAAACCCCAGGACAAAGCAGATGCCACAATTACAGAACCTCCACGATGGCTGTGCCTGGATATGGGGGGGAGGGGATGGGGGAGGGCGTGGAGGAGGGCAGGGCAGGGCACACTTACATTGACCTGTCCCTCGCAAATATCTTTAGCCTCCTGCAGCGCGATGAGAACGAAGGCTGTGAGGGACACATCTTTCTCCTCAGCATGCCTGTAGCCACCCTAGGGTGTGGAGGAGGAAATAAGGATGGGGTCACCTGTGTGCCCCTCATGCCAACCATCCCCCCCTGTAGGATCAGCAGGGCTGGGCAGGGGTGGGTCTCTCCCCAGTGTCTCACAGTAGGGCCGTACTCTAGTATCCATTCATTCACTCACTCATTCTGTAAATGTTGTTGGTGTTGTGGGTAAGATGGCTCCAGCCCTCATGGAGCTCCCCATCTCGTAGGGGAGAGAGGCATGAGCCAACCAGCTCATCACAGATCTATCATTACAAACTGACGAGTGCTGTGTAGAAGTGGATGTGGAGGTGAGAATGGATAGTGGGGGTGTGTCTTGGTCAGGGCAGTTGGAAAGGTGTCCCCAAGGGATGACAGGCGGAGCCACAATCTGAAGAGTGAGTAGGACTCAACTGTCAGAGGGCAGTGGTAACATGCCAGGCAGTGGGAACAGCATGTGCAAAGGCCCTGTGCCCGGGGGCAAGGCTCCAGGCAGTACAGATGGAGTGTGGAGAGGGAAGGATGCAAGGCTGGAAGCCGGAAGGTCAGGCTGATGCCGTGGTTTGCTCACTTGAGCACACGTCAGCATTACCTGGATTTGGGGGCTTATTAAAACCCCAATTCCTGGGCCCCACCCACAAAGTTTCTGATTCAGGCATGTGGGATCCAGCACAAGAATGTCCATTTCTAATATACTTGCAGTTGATGCTGGTGCTTTTGGCCTGGATACCAGAGTTTGAGAACCACAATTCTAAGGACTTCTCAGATTTAATGAAAGCAATGGGGGGCTAGGGAACTTTCATTTTGCACTGGGCCCTGAGGTCTCTGGTTTTTGCAAAGGAGAAGTGACATTTGTTGCTCCTTTATTTCTCTGAACATCCCACGCTGGGAATTGGACAAATGGCAGACAGAGCCTGTCTCCTGTCCATGCGGGGGCACTCAGGCACTCCTCTCCCACAGCACTCAGCCTGGGGAGGGCACAGAGCATGAGCCAATTGGCTCTGGGATCCAGAGACTGCCATCCCAGCCAAGCAAGGAGCAGAGTGGGGCAGGGCCTGCTCAGGTGTGCCCAGTGCCTGAGGCCAGGTCTCAGGACCCAATGTTGCTTGTAGGCAGTACTTAGTGATGATAGGTCACTCAGGTAGTGGGCACCTTGACTCTGAAGGTGGAGGGGTCCAGAGGCACAGGGCTGTGTGGGGGAGGCCAGCCTAGATCAGCCCAGGCCAGTGCCCAGGCCCCCCTGCTCAAGGGGTGCAGGGCCAAAGATGGGCAGGCTCACCAGGTGCTGGACTTCATATTCAGGAAGGCCGCGAAGGCCTTGTTGGGTTGCCTGAAGGCCAGTTGCTGCGTGTACCCTGCAAGGAAGAGAGAGGTGTCACTGGGGGAGCGAGGGCTGAGTGGAGGCAGTGGCTGGTGTGGGTATGCCAGGAAGGAGAGAGGCTTAGAGAGAAACAAAGATTCTGTGATGGGGGGAAGGGGAGGTTCAGAGAGGATAGAAAGTACTCAGGACCAGGAGGAATGTTTAGAGGGGAGGGGAGCTTATAGGGTGGAGGGACTCTGAAAAGGTACAGGACAGAGTGAGGAGGAGTAAGGGCTTCTCAGAGGAGAGGGGGTTCAGAGAGAGAAGGGCTCCCAGGGAGGTTCATTGGGAGAGGGAACTCACAGGGAGGGGTCTCAAAGAGGGAAGAGCAGGAGTTTCAGAGAAGAGGCGGGGCCTCAAGAGGGGGTGGGCCCACAAGAGGGGTGGGGCCTCAGAGGAGGAAGGAGCCCAGAGAGGGGCCTCAGAGTGAGGGCCTCCAATAGGGGAAGGGGACATACCCTTCTTGATGAGATCCAGGGCCTCCTGCCGCTTGTCAATGCCAAACTTGTCCCACTGCTCTGTATGGTCCAGGTAGTGCACCGCGATGACCGTGGGCGTCACACCGATCATGTTCTGCTCTCCACAACCCGAAGGGGTCACAATGAGGTGCTTCAGCCTCTCCCCATCAATGGCCTCCTCTGCCATCTGGGCCACTGGTGTCCCTAAAGCCACAAGGAAGGATGATGTTCAAGCAATGAGACCCTCTGTGGGGTGATGAGGGTCGGGCTGCCCCAAGCCTTCCCAGACTCCAACCAGCCAGGGCCAAAGAGTCAGGGACAGATGGAGGCATGTGGCTGAAGGGGGCCAGGCAGGTTGTCCCTGGGTCCTCATGTGCCACAAATGGTAAAATAATTCCAGGAACAATGGTCATGAATATGTCTATCATGCTTAATGCCGTTTGCCAAGCTCCCTTCTAAGACAACACTATACAGCATCTCATTTAATTTCCCAACAATCCTCGAAACAGGTACCGCTATTTGCCTTCATCACAGATCAGGAAACCAAGAGTTTCTATCCCAAACCTAAGAGCTCAGAGGTTGCAAGGGGCTTTGCTAGCTCCTTCCTGTGCCTTCTCCTCCCAGTCCTCCATCCTGGGCAATTCGTTCCAGAATTTCTGTTCTTGAACTCTATCACTTCTCATTGAAGCTTCTTTATCAGCAGAAGCTAAGTACTGCCTGCAGCCTTCTGTGAGCACATCAAGGAGGCTGTTCTAGCACAGGAGAAGGAGGGAGGCATCATGGTTCAATGTTCCTGGCAGTGATGGAACCGGGAGCCCTCTTGGGGGGTCATGGCTCCCACACCTTCCTGGGCCCCATGGGGTTGGACCAAGGCCATCTCACCCTGCAGGAGGATCCTGGTTTCCGACTCTGTGTCAGGGACTTGGTCACTGAGGTCTGCAGCCTCGACCTCCACTCGCTGCACACCGTCTGTCGGTGGAATGGGGGACACCCTTGGCACCAGCCTCCTTTCACCAGACCCTGCCCACCACCCAGGCCTCACTCCACTCCTGCGCTGACTCACTCTGGCCCAGGTGTTGTGGATCCAGTGTCTTAACGGCCACAGTCTTGTTCATTCTGATTCCTTCAGGCTAGACAGTGTTGAGGGAAGGGGGAGTTGGTTGAACAAAAGGACAGACAGAGCCACAGCTGGTCAGCAGGGCATTGTTCTGGGGATTACTGTAGCCTAGATGGCATCTGCCAGTCTTAGCTGTGTGACTGGGAGCCAGTTACTCAACTTCTCTGTGTCTCAGCTTCCTTCCTTATAGGGAGAAGGCAATACAAACGTCTACCTCATACTATTGTACAATATAATAACAACATTATAAATTAATAACGATAAAA